CCTCCTATGCATTTGAAATCTGGACAATGAATTAGGAAGACCAAAGAAGAACAGATGTCTTTGAATTATGGTATTGGCGTAGAATATTGAATATACCCTGGACTGCCGAAGAACGAACAAATCTGTCTTGGAAGAAGTACAGCCAGAATGCTCCTTAGACGTGAGGATGGCAAGATTTCTTCTCACGTACTTCGGACATGTTATCAGGAGGGACAAGTCCCTGGAGAAGGGCATCATGCTTGGTAAAGTAGAGGGTCATTGAAAAAGAGGAAATCCCTCAACGAGATGGATTGACACAGTGGCTGCAACAATGGGCTCAAACATGGCAACAATTGTGAGGATGGCACAGGGCCAGGCAGTATTTTGTTCTGTTGTACACAGGGTTACTATGAGTTGGAACCAACTGCATGGAACCTAACAACAGCAGTAACATACACAGCAGAACATAACCCATTCATCAATTTCGTCATCTACAATTCAATAATATTGGTTAAATTCTTCACCTTGTATCACCATTCTAGCTATCTCTACCCATAATTTTTCACCACTGTTGACTTAGACTCACTACCCCCTAAGCTTCTCATCTATGCTTTAGAGTTACTGTTGACCATTTGATCTCATATAGATGACTCTTTAAAAGGGCCAGATTATCTTTTCAAGAATGTTTGTATTGCAAATAGCCTTGAAAGATAGTGTCATGAATTGAATTGTGTCCCCCAAAAATATCTGACAACTTGGCTAGGTCATGATTCCCAGTATTATATGATTGTCTACCATTTTGTCATGTGATTTCCCTTTGTGTTGTAAATTCTATCACTATGATGTAATGAGATGGATTAGTGGCAGTTATACTGATGAGATCTACAAGATTAGATAGTGTCTTAAGCCAATCTCTTTTGAGATACAAAAGAGAGAAGGCAACAGAGAGACATGGGGACCTCATACCACCAAGAAAGCCGCGCCAGGAGCACAGCGCATCCTTTGGACCCAGGGTTCCTGTGCAGAGAAGCTCCTAGTCCAGGGGAAGATTGATGACAAGGACCTTCCTCCAGAACTGACAAAGAAAGCCTTCCCCTGGAGCTGATGCCCTGTATTTGGACTTCTAGCCTACTAGATTGTGAGAAAATAAATCCCTCTTTGTTAAAGCCATCCATCTGTGGTATTTCTGTTATAGCAGCACGAGATGACCAAGACAGATGGAGATAATGCTTCCTTCTGGAGCAGGCCATAGGTTTGCTTACTGTCCAGTATAATAAAATAATATCTCCCCCCAGGGAAAAGGGCAGGTTTGCTTGCTGCCCAATCTAAAATATTCTGGTCCCCTCAGCTTGAGGTTTCACAGCTTTGATGCAAACCCACTTACTGTGCAGCATCCACCTGGGCCCTCTGTATTGTCCTCGTGAAGCTGGGGGACAAGTGACACCAACATGAAGCTCATGCTGCTTGTTGTGTTGTGAGTAATAAAATCCTTTGTCTCTGACCCAGGAGTACTGCATCTTCTGCCAGCATTCATGAAATTATGACCAACCAACCAACCTGTTAGCATAGGAGTAGGGTGAAATCTCAGACCCTTCACAGTTCTTGACAGAAGACAGAAGGGGCATGGGAAATTGAAGTCCACTCCTGACAGTCTCCCTTTTCTCAGCGGTATGGCAGGGAGAAGAGGAGGCTTGAGGAAGAGGTGAAGTTCTGAAATCATTGTTGAGAGTGGAATGGGAGCTGCAGCTGACCAAGGACGTGACTGGAGTGGAGAAGCCAGCTGTCATGGATTGAATTATGTCCCCCCAAAAAATATGTGTGTCAGTTTGGCTGGGCCATGTTTCCTGGTATTGTGTGATTTTCGTGTATGTTGTAAATCCTGCCTCTATAATGTTAATGAGGGAGGATGGGTGGCAATTCTGTTAGTAAGGCAGGACTCAATCTACAAGATTGGATTGTGTCCTGAGGCAATTTCTTGAGATATAAAAGAGAGAGGTGAGCGTGGTGGGGGGGACCTCATACCACCAAGAAAGCAGTGCCAGGAGCAGAGTGTGTCCTTTGGACCTGGGATCCCTGCATGGAGAAGCTCCTAGTCTGGGGAAACATTGACGAGAAGGCCGACAGAGAGAGAAAGCCTTCTCCTGGAGCTGATGCCCTGAATTTGGACTTTTAGCCTACTTAACTGTGAAGAAATAAATTTCTCTTTGTTAAAGCCATCCACTTGTGGTATTTCTGTTATAGCAGCACTAGATGACTAAGACACCAGCTGAGGCTGAACTCGTAGTGGTACCTTCTACTCTGGAATGGGCAGTGTGGGGAGGGGCACAGCCTGGGCAGATGAAAGCACGGATCCAGGTTGCAGCTGTGCTGAGCAGAAAGCCAGGGACACAAGAGAATCTGCATTACTGATGGAAGAGTAGCTCAGATTGTGACCACGGGGTCCTGCCTGATAGGGAAGAAAGTTGCCAAAATGGGGCTGATAGACTGGGAGAAAATGGAGGATGGGGAGGCTGGAGGCCCTGTGAGACTGAAGGGGTTGGAAAGCGAACTCCAGGAAGAGGGATGGGAGGCTTTGGTCCAAGTGGGTATTGCCATTCAAGGCACTGGAGGTGGGCCCACATCATTAATGCATGTGGGGGATTGCCCTAGGCTGTGTTCTCTAGAGAAGCAAAACCAGTGCAGCGTGTATATATATATAGAGAGAGAGAGAGAGAGAGAGATTTATCTCAAGGAAACGGCTCTTGCCATTGTAGAGGCTGGCAAGTCCCAAGTCCATGGGTCAGGCGTCAGGCTGGAGGCTTCTCCTAATTCATGTAGCTGCAGGGGCTGACAAACCCAAGATTGGCAGGTCAGACAGCCGGCTGCTGGCTCATAGGCTGCAGAGGCTCGCAAATTCAAGATCGGCAGGCAAGATGGGAGGCTGCTGGCTCAGAGGCTGTGGAGGCCAACGAATCCCAAGATTAGCAGGCAATACAGCTGGCTCAAGTCCCAAGAACCAGAGGTCAGATGATGATGAGCCAGATGCAGGATCCAGAGCAAGCAAGCAAGCTTTGCCAGAATGTCCTTATACATATTGGATGCAGGCCACACCCCTGAGGAAACTCCCCTTACAACTGATTGGCTGATCACATCAGATGATATCATGGAGGAGATTACAACATTTCATAACTGCCAGATTACATCATTACGTAACCACTAAACCACTAAGAATCATGGCCCAGCCAAGGTGACATACAACTTTAACCATCATAGGGATCAATCCCCCTGAGGAGGAGAGTGCCCCTGATGCTGGAGTCCAGGTGGGTAGAGGCTGGGTGTGGAGGTGGCCAAGTTTGTAGGTTTAAAGATGGAAAGCTGAAGAATTTAATAATAGCTGGTGGTTCTCTTTTTCTGCATGAAGCAGAAGATAAGGAATTTACTGAGAGTGAAGGGCAGGGGTGGGATTTCGGGGCTTAGGGAGAGGGTCCGAGATTTTATTAACCACGGAGGAAATGGGAGGTGCTAAGCAATGAACTGGAAACCCTAAATATTGAAACTGAAAGACTTAATACCATAAATTCTAAATAATACCCATCAACAGGAATCCCTGAGTGGTGCAAACAGTATTGTGCTCAGCTGCTAACTGAAAAGTTGGAGGTTCAAGCTCACTCAGGTGCCTAAGAAGAAAGGCCTGGCAATCTGCTCCCAAAAAGTCAGTTACTGAAAACTCTATGGAGCACAGTTCTGCTCTGACACACATGGGGTCACCATGAGTTAGGGTCCACTCCACTGGCAACTGGTACTGGTACCCATCAGCAGAGGAGCAAGGTGTGCCTCACTGATCAGCCTTCCTGGGGTAAAGGGGCCGTGTGTGTGAGTGTCCTTCCGGGACCCTGCTCACTGGCAATTGAGGTAAGAGAACAGGGCCTGAAGGACTCATTCCTGACCTCAGGCTCTGGCGCCATCTATTCCCGACCTCAAGCGCCGGCTCCAGAAAGCTTTTTGGGAAGCCTTGCCATTGGACAGGTACCTGCTGCTGCACCCGGAGTTGCTCCGATACCTGAAAAACAGGTGAGCGCTGAAGCGTGTGGCCAGGCCAGGCCCCTTCTCCTTGCAGACTCCTGACAGCTGGGGCTGGGGTGTCTCACAGGTTTTTGAGGTCTAAGACCCTGGACTCCCACCCGGGGCTCTTCTGCCGTTCCCAGCCCTCCTACTCCGTACCGTAGAATTCGGCCTCAGAAGCTGGGCCGCATGAGCTTCCCAGCCCTTCCCAGTGATGCGGGGACCCCAGGCTGGCCCCCTTTTGTAAAAGGAACTCCATCCGGTGGAGGGCCCTGGTGCCCAGGACCGGCCTCAGAGAAGGGACACACCTTCTCAGTTCTCCGTGCGCCACATGCAGGCTTCCTACCGGCCCCTGGGGCTGGCCGTCGGGTTTCGTCCCCACTCTGCCGGCTCCCTCCCTCTCCTCAGCTGTCCTGATGACTCAACCCGCATTCCGCCTGCTCGCGTTCAAGAAGGACCCGAGGTGCCAGGGCCCAAGCTGACAGGTCTTGAGGGTCCTTCCAAGCGGAGCGCAGCGGGCCGCCGCCCCATCCGCCGGGGGTCCGGAAGCGTGGGACCGGGTCTGAGGGCGCAGTGCGCGGCCTCCGCTGCAGGTGGCGTCGTCTCCTCGGGCCCCGCTCTCCATCGCCCTGGACCGGGGTGGGCGCAGGCGGGTGCTCAGGGGCGGG